ACCCACCTCCCCACCCACCCCATGAAGTCACTGCGTGTTTGTACCCCCTCGCTGGCGCTACCTCTGACAATGTTTTTGTGTTTTCAGTACTAATCAGCTAGTTTGCTTGCTCTATATATTTTATAAATGTCTTTCCTATTACAATGAAATGGTTTCATTACCGGATATGCTCAATTTTTCTGAACTTTAATATAGAGTTTATAAATTAAGTGATGCAAAATATTACTTATTGTGTTTTATAAAAAGACATCATCCTAGGTTGTAGTACAGGCCATACTCAAGAAAAAATATACTTGGATGCTCAATGCTATACGGAAATGTGTAACTTTCTGTGATCAGAATACTATTGATATTTCGGGGGGAATGTAACTTACCGAAGCAATAACGTTGATCGCTACCAAGCGTTCTCTTTAAATTATACACCATATAGTCCGTGCAGTTTTTAATCTGTATCGGATACTTGACTTTACAGCAGGATGAAAACATACTTAAACACCCTATTCTATCAACTATACCATCTTCTACTGTAGGATGGTTACCTATAGACAACATGATAAAACATACTTAAACATCCCATTCTATCAACTATACCATCTTCTACTATAGGATGGGCACCTATAGACAACATGATAAAACATACTTAAACATCCCATTCTATCAACTATACCATCTTCTACTGTAGGATGGATACCTATAGACAACATGATAAAACATACTTAAACATCCCATTCTATCAACTATACCATCTTCTACTGTAGGATGGATACCTATAGACAACATGATAAAACTTACTTAAACATCCCATTCTATCAACTATACCATCTTCTACTGTAGGATGGATACCTATAGACAACATGATAAAACATACTTAAACATCCCATTCTATCAACTATACCATATTCTACTGTAGGATGGGTACCTATAGACAATATGATAAAACATACTTAAACATCCCATTCTATCAACTTTACCATCTTCTACTGTAGGATGGTTACCTATAGACAACATGATAAAACATACTTAAACATCCCATTCTATCAACTATACCATCTTCTACTGTAGGATGGGTACCTATAGACAACATGATAAAACATACTTAAACACCCTATTCTATCAACTATACCATCTTCTACTGTAGAATGGGTACCTATAGACAACATGATAAAACATACTTAAACACCCCAACGTGAGAGTCACCCACCTCCCCATTTAAAATACATTGTTCCTTGTTCAGATGTGTAAGGCCTGATTCAAAAAACCTGATTGCACATCGTTACGTAATATTCTAATTTTATCAAAATAACAAAAGGAAATAGACCTACCATCTAACCAGACATTGCTGTGAGAGCCACAAAATCCACTAGGAACACACATAGTAGGCATAGTAAGATCATCTCCTGTTGACTCTAGCTGAACTCGTCTCCATCCTTCATCTATAAATCTATCATGGGAGTCGGAATAATACAGGTCACATTTAATACTTCGTCCACCATCATCATACAACATTCTGTAGTTGTTACATGGATCATCTTGTAATGAAACTGAAATACAAATATTTATATAGTAACAGTAACATTTGATCCAACTCTTTGAATGAAACTTAAATACAAGCGTTTATACACAAAGCCAATTTCTAACCTTTTCACGGAAGCCATGGAGACCTTTACATAATATATATAGATCCTGTTCATCTTAAAATTCCTGTCTACAATTAAGCTTCGAGGTATGTCATTCTCTCAGAAGGGGATAACTTTCGAAGATTTTTCAGTGAATATAGAATTGAATTATAATTTTAGATTATTTGTTACATGTTTTCACTGTGTGCTGTAAATAGCCTACATGTATTGTTCGTGTCGCTTAAAAAATTCATTTAAACCTCAGATTTAGATTGTGTTCTGAAAAAAAATGAGAGCATCAAAGAAAAAATAAAGATAATTTGGCAGGAATTTCAACGAGAGTCACATTTTACCAAAAGACGTTTCGGAAATATGATATGACACCAATAGCTAAATTACTCGGTGTATCGGAAGTTTTCTAAACTATTAGTAACTTTTAGTATCGCCCATCCGCATTTTAAATCTTTCATAGACGCCTTTTCGGCAGTGGTCTTATACGAACTTAAGTACATTATTTGAGGATGCAGGCCAAAGATATAACTCTAGACATGCCGTGCTGATGCTTGTAGTGTTCACGAATCCATGGATTGGTAACGCTCGAACAATATGGCTACCAACATTAAAATTATACAACATCCTTGTGCGGATCCTTCAGAGGTAAGGTTTCCGGTTTACCTGCAAAAGTGCATATTTACCACACTATCATATTTATGGCAGGACCATCGCGATGCCAGTGTCAAGAAAGGTCAATCGGTAACACTGTGTTTTCACTTTGAACAACCAAACGGAAATCAGTTTCTGAGACCTAACACTTCGGATAAAGTCGCCAGGTTCTTCGTAAACCTTTTACGTTGAATTAAATTTCTTGTGTCGAAAGAGACGTTTCAAATTGTCACCACTATAATATTATCGGCACTTGGATGTCAAAACAAAAATGCAAAACGCATTTATAACTGGATTGAAAATGAGGGGGTTGCCATGGAACATGTACAACATATGCGTAATAACGATACTGCCAACTAAAGAGCTAACAATCACGAAGATAAAAAAATGTCCTAGGTAGGAACTTGACTTAATTATGAATTTTTCTTGTATCAAGGAAAATATGAACACATTAAAAATTACACTAACAAACATTATCGACAACAAAAACTTTGGTTCAAATGATATAAGGTACAGATCTATCTTAGTAGACTATTTATGCAAGTTGACAAGATCGTCTAATGTGACGACAGGAATATTGAAATATTACCAGCAGTTCCATTTTAAGACCCGCTTCATCTTGTCAACATCTAATTGTTATCCGAATAATGTGCTACAAATCATACAATCTACCAATCGCATTTTAAATGTGTTCGGAGCACAATATCAATTCAATTTTGTAAGCATACAATAATAGACGGCCTACCTGTTAATGGTAACAGCATCACAATTAATATCAACCCCAGCATCTTGATCGACATTAATAATAACAACACGGACCACAAGAAATAACTTCTTTCATCGACCGATTGTTAGAACCTATTTACACTTTATTCAATAGTTATAAATCACGTGATATGCTACATGTTTACATCCTTATTGTGCAGGATATAAATTCGCATACAGCTTCCACGAAATCTTAGTAACCCAGGCGTTATTAATAGAACACTAAATAGAGAGGTATTAGAGATATATGCCTGTAATATAAATTCCCAACATGTTGTAGATTTATAACCAACCAAAAATACACACGAAAAAGATTTGCATGACAAGAGAAAACTTTAGGATTAACAATCGATGTACCTATTCGAACTTTATTCATTTGATTTTCAAATTATTCCCTTCGTTATCTAATTTAAAAGAACAGCCTCACAAACTCCTCGATTGATCAAGTATTTCTACAAGGACCTACAAGAGAAATTTCGTACTGTTTTTAAGAATGATCTAGCCATTGTCTACAAGAATCTAAATGATCTTCTTGTCCAGGGTAGATTGCCTTCTTTAAATTAACACCCACCTTTATTTAAAATATTTCTCTTTATTCTTTTTTCTCGACATGCCATTTTTCATAATATCCATCTGGTCATACTATTATTACCAAATATTTTCAAGAATTGATTTTGATTTTAATCTAAAGATTTGTCTCTTCTGCTAATTTCAGACTATCGACAGTTTAAAGTGTACAGAACATGGATTTACAAACTTTTAATTATAACACACATTTTGTTAATTCAAATTTAAGGACATTAAACTTGTAGGTTCTGTGCCAGTGCTTTCGTAACTTTGTCATAAGTACTTTTACTCCCTAGGTTTGATACATGACAAAACCCCACAGAATACTGTCCCTACCCTCGACATTCCCTGATTGCAAGGTGGACGACATCGTCGTGAGGAGTACCAGACAATCAGAAAGCACTCGTTCTAGTTAGCTAATTCCAAGTGGCAGAATTGTCCATATACTAAGCTACAATATGTTCTATGACCATTTAACAAAAAACCAACGCGAATAGGCTTTAGAATTATTTAGGTCGTTAGACTTCTAGCAGTTACAGAACTAAATTGGACCTTCCTGTTTCGTGTAGTTCCCATATTCAATAATACAATTTACAAAATGTATAACCTCGTTGTGTAATGGACCCCTCACACGAGTGGAGGTCATGCTCTGTGATTTGATTGGTTGGAACCAGGAAGATACTTGACTTATACTTAAAAAGTTTTCTATAACGGAAAGTATCAATAATATTAATAGACCTAGAAGGTAATATAAATGTATATGGTCCTAAAAGCATATTTAAATGTAGAGCTTGCTAACTTAACTTGCACAAGGAAGTAACATTTGAAATGTGTTTTGAAACAAAAACATTATTTAGCTAGCTATTGAGCGAGAGTACAGTTAAAATGTTGCTATTCAGTATTTTGTGGTTTTTGATTTTTGATTGGGCATACAGTCAGACTGGTAAGTCTCTAAAAAGTTTCTTTTGTCTCTAAAGGTGGTTTCACATCATGCGTGTGTGTGTCTAGAATCATACTAACACCCAATTTCCAAATAATTAATAAGCTTATCTATTGCTCTGTGACCTAGACCAGTGCTTTTATTGAGGCTTGTCTCAATACCAAAGCGACCATTAGTTGCTTATACCAGAAAGCCTGCGGTCAATTTGTATGCAACAGAGACGATATGCATACTATTATGTGTATATAGAAACACCCTACAGCATCTCACTCTGTGTTATTTTCTCGAGTGTGGTTCATTGCAGTATAAATGTTCGCTTATGTTATCTAGAGTATGTAGCATATTATTGTCTGTTTATATCGGGGGTTATCAACCTGTATTATTGTGTTCCCGAAACCGATGTCTCAAGATATCGAAAATGGAAGTAGGTATGGATACTAGGCACGTAATGGGGTAGTATGGAGTTCACATTATTGGTCGAGTACGTAAGGCCGTGTATAAACATGTCAACATGTGTTATATAATTTAGATGGAGAATGGGAAAGTAAAGTATTGGCAACATTAACAAAATAATCATTAAAAATTTCTTGTTTGATATTAATAATTTTTGAAGTTGAATATTTATTAGAGGAGACCGTATTGATTGCAGCCTAATTTAGTAATTAACTAAATTACAAAACATGTTAAGTAAGTCTATACTGACTTGAAAGGTTGAAAGATGATACAATCTCTGAGCATGTACGTCACAATTTGAACGATGTCCACTTATCTATAATATAAGAGTCTCGTTGTTCGATCTTAAACAGCGTGTTTTTGATCAAATGTTATAGTTCAAGGGAGGTAACCGATGAAAATATTTATGTTATACGGACGGTCATTCATTTGCCATCTGTTTCCATGTTAAAACACCAAATTCAACCTTCCATAATTTTTTCCACAAATCTCATTGAGTACTTTCCAATATGTCATTTGGAAGCCTGACCAATTACTTTGTTTCTAGACAAAAATTCAATATGTCATGACCAAACGAAATCTTGAGCTAGCCAAACTGAAAGTAGACCACAACATTTTATCAATATCCACTTTCACTACACACAAAATCTGAAAGAAAATGCAATTTGAGATATCAATTTCCAAAATTAATCACAAATAGGCATTCAAAAACTCCAAAAGTGAGTGAGAAAGGGGATTTATAAAAATAGCACCGAATCCATTCGTATTATTTGCATAAAATGTTTTAGTGGACTCGGTCCTATATATGATTTTAACAGTTCAAGGGAGGGAACTGATCACAAAAATTATATTGTGAGTTTAAAGTTATACTACCTCTCAGTATGACCAAAAAATTGAAATGTCTAACTCATTAAAGTAAATAATTGAAGAAGCGTGTTTAAATTATTATTTAGTTTAGTGGATATATTGATTCTATTCTTCTAGTGATGGCACCCGTTAAGTCCAACAGATGAATATATACACTTGTTGAACAAGCTTTTATTTTTTAGACTGATTTTCACCATGACAAATTCTGCCAGTTTCAGGATTGCCTCAGCGATCCCACATAATATCAAAACAAGATGTATGCTGAATAAAATAGGGAACAAACATCCCTGTTCCTTAATCAATGAATCTTATGCTGACACCAGGCTTCAACAAACATTTTGCCGTATCAAAAACGTCTGCAGGCACAATTTTTGTTTGACATGATCATTTGTCATACTTTTGCATTTTCGTATAACCGAAATTGACGTACGACGTTAACCATCATTTGCGTATTTCAAAATTACTGCTCTAATTCTAAAAGTGTTTTGAACGCAATTTTTCTTTTGTTCTTTACTTTAATCTATTGACCAAAAGATAGCACTTTAAAAAATTTAAAATTTTGACTTTTGTCGCTGACTTTTTTTGTTTAAATTTTAGCCTTTTTCCAACTTCTTGTTATTTCAATGGCTCTGAAAATTTACAAGTAGATAGACATTTTGATTGCGAACAAAATTCTATTTTGAAAATATTAGTATCACTTCCGGTTTTGACGTTATTTGCTCTTAAAGTTGAAATTTCAACTTCCGGAATTTTATAGATATTTGAAAAATTATTTTTGCAACTTCCTAGAATTGTTTATATAAAAGATTTCAAATGATTAAATTCGTCCCGGAAGTATTAGATCAGCCGCCATCTCGAAATGATAAAATTCTCTATAAAAGTACTTTTTGGGATAAGGGTTTAATCAGATTTAAAGGTCTATATTATCAGTGAACGATTCCTAACAATCGTGTGGTAGCCGATTTTTGAATTTTGATTTTGCTTTTTAGTTATTTCCGGTTGATTTTTATCAATATTGTCCAAAACTTTGAAGGCTCATATTTCGTGACCTAGACCTTTGGTGACCTTCTGACCAGCACAAAAGTTGTCGTCTTAGTCGAGATCTATTCGCTTATGTCATCATTTATGTTGTGCAACGTTAACTTCCGGTTCTATAGGCAATTGAAAATCGTGCTTTTTAACTTTGAAGAGCTCTGTGACGTGACCTAATTAACATACAACAAAATTTCTTATATATTCTTAAAGTGCATGATCTCTTCTTTTTGGTGATATATCACACTTGATATTTTAATCAAAATGGCGCTTTTTAAAAATTTTGTAGTGACTTCTATAGTAATTGTGCATAAATTCACGGTGTCTATAATCTACCGACGGTAACCGCTGCCTTAAAAAACGTATAACTTCGAATATCCCATGATCTAATGATTGTAAACACTTGAAATTTTGAACATTATTTAAAAATGTCAAAACAAAGACAAAATAAAATTTTTGAAGTGGGCGTGGTACATCCGGTGTGCATTTACCTTTATCTGAAATATTTGCAATTGTCATAACTCGCAAAGTTTGCAATTGTCACCCATGAAAATAGTTCACTACTTAAGACAATTTGTGATAAGATTACGGTTGTTTGCGCTCTTTACTTTAAAAAGGGGAATAGGTTTAACAATTTTAAAAAAAATCATTTTTGAACTTTAACATAAATGACCTTGACCTTTGCATGGTCAAAGGTCATTACTTTGATCTTTGATGTCCGATATATACCTTCGGTTTTGCAGACGTCCGAAAACAGCAATTTTCGAAACTTCAACGGCTCATATTACTTTTATTTGACGTTTGTTGACCCTTTGACCAGAACAAATGTTATTGTGCTCGACCAGATCTATTCAAATATATCTTCATTTGTATTGTGCGATTGTAAAAATCGACTTTTTTCTACTACACAAAATGGCGGATTTCAGTTATTACCAAATATCTCAACTTTTATCGGCCAAATTTTGTCATAATCCCAAGCTGTAATCGGAATTCCAAGTGTCGTCTGCTGTCATATTTTCCAGTGAACAAAGTCACGTGCCAAACTAGCGGATTCCATGTCAGCAGAAAAAAAATCTATGGAACACAATGTGGGCCATATTCTTATGATGTTTCAATGACTTTTAGCAATAAATTACGTTTTACTTATTTTACAAGTCACTATTTTTTGTTTAGATCATGGTTCTTTGAAGGAATTGTCATTAGTTATAATGAATTGATATTAAAGATAAATACTAAGAGAAGTTAATTATACCACTTGGTATCCATACAACTTACAACGAATTATTTATAGATCAAACATTGTACACACAATTTAGGTAACGCATTTTGCAGTCGTTGTCGAGTTGAAATATGGGTCAAAGTGAGGGATTCATACAGAAAATCGAAACAAACCAATTTTAATTATTTCATAGAATATCTGAAGAAACATCTAAGACATAAAAAAAAAATCCGTTTTTTTAATTTTGACGAAATTTGGTAACGAATCCTAATGTGCAGAAAGATTTTGTCTAGAAAGAGATGTAGTAAGTTTGAAGGTATCATGGCCACCTGTTCTAAGCGTTAACTGGAGTTCAGCGATAGAAGACGATATAATTTAAACAAACATCTACCTGACGTGTCCATATCTGAATTCGAAGCAAAATTATTTATTTATAAATAGTCAAAGAGCGAAAAGATCATATTTCAAATTGATGACTGTAAATCTACATGTAATAAATGAAATGAAATAATACTTTAGATTTGTCTAAAAACTTACCACAAGTAAAATGGTTTGACAGTTTTGTCTTCTCTAAATCGAGATTCATACGCGTGCGACCTTGTCAATTTATACTCAATGTCACGGGAATAAATATAACAAATATACCAAAAATATTGATAGATTCGTATTTGCCTTCTCTAACCTCGGTACTGAATGTACATTTTGTACAAAAAAATTTTGCGCAAGCACCTTTAATTTTGGATAGTCCTGGCTGCCACCTGGCTTCAGCATCTGAACAATGGTCGCCCATCATGTATGGCATAGGTGACAAGTGTTGTTTCTGTGTTCTTGATGGCAAGCTCTTCTATGGGCTTGAGTACGTCTGATTTGCTACTGAATGGCAACAATCCATCTTATATAAGATCAGGAAGTTACACACAGGGCTCGTGCTTGAAGAACTTACCTTGCAATATTAAGTCTTGAAGAGAGTTATGGTTAATTCTTTGCTGGAGCTATATCTGCAACTTGATATTACTAGTAACAGTGGCTTCGGTTGTGCCGATTATTTGCAGCCAAACGCTGTTCTTCTATCAACTTTCACTCTACAGATATCAAACAGTTTTTGAATTTATTTCAGTTTCAGATTTGTGCGACAAGAAACAGTTCTTGCCCTTTACACATCAAACAAACAGGTCTGTTAATTATAATGAAACAACAAAACTAAATGATAGATTTATTAGAGTAGGATGGTATGGTACATTCGACTTTGTTATTCCGTCAGTACAACCTGCTAAAAGACACTGTGGAGCTAAGTATCCCGCCTATTTACAAAGTAAGTCTAATCGACATATTGGACTTTTTATTTTGAATTCAAAAATTATCATAATAAGAATTATCATCTAATAAATAAAACTTTTTAGTTCAAAATCAATTTCACCTTTGTGAAAATTAAAGTTTTTAATTCAAAATAAAAAGTGGAACATGTCGTATGTGAGCCACCGCACCGTAAATAGCCTCATTTCGTCCACAATTCTGAAACTATTTTATTTCTACAGTGTTAATTTGTAATAGTTTATACTTGTATTGTTGACTAAAGTCATAAATTGTCATGCTGTCACATGACTAAAAACCAGCCTATAAGTGATAGATTTATGACAGCAGGGTGGTATGGAACATTCGACTTTCGACAGGTCGGTACAACCTGCAAGCCGACACTGTGGGACTTAATATCAAATCTTTTTACAAAATAAATCCAATGACCGAAGTAGATAGCATGATTAAATTTCGAATCAACAACTTATTATCAAAAATTACAGACGGCGGATTAGCAAGACATGCCCATTCAATCAGAACACTATGTCACTCCGCGACTTAAATACATTTTCTTGTCTTGATTGAGTTCGCAAAGAAGAATACCATAGTTCCTTATTACATATTTGTGTTTTCCATATGCACCCCAGGGATGAATTGGAATTTCTCAGGGTGAACTTTTGAATTTGGGGGAGGGGGAATTTTTGTAGAATTGTACAAAACGGGTGAAATCTCCAGTGGTTTTTTGTGTAAATCCGTGTTGATTTAATAAAACATTGAAACAATACATTACTATAATGTTTTAATTTTTAGTTTTTAGTTATTTGATGTTTGATAGTGCTAGGGACGAAATTTGTTCTCAAGTTGAGAAGCACTGAATGAAGTTGTCATTTGTTATAGGTGAACCAGACGTTGAAAGGGTTATAGTAGATGTTACGGTTTGTATGCGTGGTTGTAGAAGTAAAAAGATCATCAAGGCTTTAAAATGTTCTGAGCGATTAACCGTATACAGATTGGTACGACTTTCAACTAATGGAGCAGCATATTGTCTAGGTAATGACCTAGCTTGTTTAGTTATCTACCGAATAATTACATACATTATTACTTGAATATTATTGAAATCTAAATTATTTACTGAATTATCATCTGAATTTTTTATCGAATCAATGTCTTACTTATTATCTGAAATATTATCAGAAATATTATCTGAATTACTTACTGAACTATTATCTGAATTATTTACTAAAGTATTATCTGAATTACTTACTGAACTATTATCTGAATTATTTACTAAAGTATTATCTGAATTACTTACTGAACTATTATCTGAATTATTTACTAAAGTATTATCTAAATTACTTACTGAACTATTATCTGAATTATTTACTAAAGTATTATCTGAATTACTTACTGAACTATTATCTGAATTATTTACTAAAGTATTATCTGAATTACTTACTAAATTATTATCTAAATTATTTACTATTTACAGGTGGAATAGAAACCGGTAAGTTTGACTAAAATTATTTTTAAATCTAGCCAAATATAATAAGGTATAAAGAAACATTTGCCTAAACTAAATATTCTTTAAAATTTGCTGTATTTTCTGTTTTATGTTTTCTTTTCCAAATATGCAAAGAAAATGAACTTCCATTTCATTTCTATGATTTCAGGACCAGATTTTAACACAAATGTGACTATTGATACTGATACAAACTTGAGACTGGTTGCTGGTTTCGACGATGAACAGGAATTTATATTCGACTGTTCCTTTCCCAATCCAAATCAGGATTCATTCGTATACAAGGCGACATGGTAAGTTCTTATTACTGAGGAACCACCACTGTTAAATAGAGAATTTGAATTGTTGATTGTTACAGGTCTCAGAACAGGAAAACACGAAACAAATGATTCAAATTAGCATCAGATTAAGAGTAAAAACAATTCTAGTATTGTACGTGTTATTTATTATAGGTTTGTTGATGATGTGATTGTATACGAGTCTAACTATACTGATTATAATGATGCCTATAAAATCAGAAGTCTAACTGATACCAGGCTAAGAGACAGTAACATCACTACACTCGGCTTTCAGGTAACAATGTTCAACTAGAACTGTGAACAAGTTCTGGGCGTCACACGAGACTTTGTCCCATTGCTATTAGACCTTGTGAAATTTATAACATTTTAGTATTTTTCTACTATGTAGGGTGTAGGCGTGATATGGCGGTTGAAGGTGTGTGCGTGCTGTTCTTGATGGGTAACATTAGTTAATCAGTAAATTATTATTTAAATCATTTAAAGCAGTAAATGCATTGATATATTTAATGGATTATCATGTGGGTGTGATTTTAATACGTCAAATTACCCTTTTGAATATTCTGTGTACCTACCTATATCAGAAGTAGTGATGCCTCGACTCATTTACACAACGACATTGTGGGGTTTACAGTTAAAAAATCAGATCTATAAGAGGTCAAATTCAAAATCCGTGGTTCAACCCAAATTGTGTGTCCTATCTTTATAGTAATTCTTTCACTAATGTGAAATCTATAAAAAAAAAGGTACAAATTCCATTGAATTTCTAAAAATTGCATAATATCTTTGTTTAGCTTCATTGTGATGTAAGAGCAGCCGATGATGTTAAGCGGAGATCGAGTTTACCGTCAACTAGTAACAAGACATTTATTGGAATGATAGTGAGTTTCCTTGTTTTTTCCAAGCTCTTTTTATCTTCTATTTTAGTATTTTATCTATAAAATGTTTAATTGAATTTAAATTCTTTGTATTTGAATTAGATTAAGTTCCTTTTGTAATGTTTGTTCATTTTGTTCTTTTATTAATTATTTAAGAGTTTGTAATTTGTAAAATTTGAGGATATTTCGGCCACAATAATTAAAGTATTCATTTACTTTACTACTGTTTTGTTTTTGGGGTTTGGAATTAAAACTTAATATTGAGACTTTACTCTACTTTCTCGATACTGAATATAGTAAAATGTTCCATACCAAACAATAGAACAAAGTTCGCTGCACAAAAAACAAATCTAAAATCCCTGTCACACCATGACGATTTAGTTAGCGTAAGGCGGTGCATCCAAAACGCTTGGCTGCACTGAACTATTGACTTTCTTTTAACTTTCATAGCAATGAATCGCACATTGAAATAAAGTGATTTTAACCTACAGGCTACAGATAACGCTTTGAAAACTTATAGAGAACTTAAACTATTTCCCCTAAAAATTTCGTTACACTATGGCAAAGTACGGGGAGGTCAATGAATGATTTGTGCATGCATATAACATATAACTACACATGGCTCATACAACTCGCATATGTGGAATGTAAGTTGCTTTGAACCTATGTTGAACTTATTTTATCTTGCGTAGAGTGCAACGTTTAGTGGAAATTAAATAAATATCGGGAGCCAATTCGCCATTTTGTGCAAGTGCATGAAATGTTTGTACGTTCTCCTCTTACTACGGCGTATACCGGCGTGCGTCAACGATTTTTACGTTACACACAACTTACCCATAACGTATTCGACGTACGTATTCGACAAATTTTTCATACGCTGGCTATACGCTTGCCTAATCGTCAATGTTACAGGATCACAGCTGCAATAGTGACAATAGTCCTTTTGACTTTATAAAGTCATGATAAGATTATTTCAACTATTGTTCCTTTTTTATTATATAAAACGTCCACTTTATGTCGTTCTGACATACATATTTATTCTATATTTTATTGACTTATTGATCACATTTTATTCAGGTTTCGAATCTGGCTTATAATTTAAAAGAAGGGGGGCATGCTACTATATGGATACGGTCTACAGTTCCTATTGGTTGCGCTGATGATAATGGTGGGTGTACATTATCAGTAACTGCTGATATACCCAAGGAAGGAGGCGATAGATGTAAACCTTCTCCCACAGCTAATGGTGGGTGTGGTATTTCCATTAAGGCTTCAGAATGGAACGAATGGCATCAATTAAACATCAGTTCAACTGTAACTGAAGATTATGGACAAGCGGTTATTCAAAAGAAAATATTTCTACGGGCGGACGATGAGTATTTTTATCAACCTATCTGGGGGAATTACTTCCTTGAACCAGTAACGGTATGATTTCTTTTTTTCCCCATATTTCGGTCAATTACCTGCTCAAACCAGTTACAGTAAAGTGACTATTATATTATGATGCTTTCAACCTAATGAAGTTTAAATGATTCTTGACATCACTCCAAAAGCTATAATATCTCACCCGACTGTGGCCGGTTCCCTACTCTACAGTTGGCTTTTTATACCTTGTAACTTTTATGGTATTTTCAGATCTATATAACAAAGGATACATCACTCATTGAAGGCAAACTATGTAAAATTAGCAGCGATCCGTATTTATTGGACTTCTACAGTTTCTGGTAACAAACATACGTTTGCTTGTAGTATGTCAATTACAGGAAGCGGGATGGCACAAAAAATAGTACTGAGCATATTGTGACTACAAGAAACTGTCATATGTAGCTTTGGGCATCTATGTCAGATTTCAGGAGAATGATAAAAAGGCCACGGTTCGCCATTTTCAGGGGTTGATTTCGGTCTTGAAGTCTTCAGAAGTACTAGAAATGTACGAAAAAAATTCCGTCAAAAATACCTATCAAACTAGGAATTTCACTTTCTTTTCCTATATTTGTTTTTTTACGCCCACATTATAATGTGGACGTATATTGTCGTCACCCATGTCCATCGGTCCGTCTGTCCACAATTGGCTTGTGAACGAGATAGACACTATAGTTTTCATCTGATTCGAATGAAATTTGGTGTGATCATTTATATTGATGAGATCTTGGACAAGTTCGATATTCACGATTTGTCGATGAACGGTTTTTGAGTTATTGCCCTTGACTTATGAAAAATGCGTCAAAATTTGTTTGTGAACACAATAGAGACTACAGTTTTCATCTAATTTGAATGAAATTTGGTGTGATCATTTATGTTGATGAGATCTTGGACAAGTTCGATATTCACGATTTTTCGATGAACGGTTTTTGAGTTATTGCCCTTGACTTAGCCAAAACGCGTCAAAATTGGCTTGTGAACGCGATAGAGACTACAGTTTTCATCTAATTTGAATGAAATTTGGTGTGATCATTTATATTGATGAGATCTTGGACAAGTTCGATATTCACGAATTTTCGATGAACGGTTATTGAGTTACTGCCCTTGACTTAAGAAAAATGCGTCAAAATTTGTTTGGGAACACAATAGAGACTACAGTTTTCATTACAATTTAAATGAAATTTGGTGTGAATATTTATAATGGTGAGATCTTGGTCAAGTCTGAAGTTGGCTATATTTCGATGAACGGTTTTTGAGTTATTGCCCTTGATTTATGAAAAACGCGTCAAAATTTGTTTGTGAACACAATAGAGAGTACAGTTTTCACCCGAGTAAATGAAAGTGGGCGTATCTTGCTAGACAACCTCTTGTTCTATATATGGCGTAATCTTAAGAAATGACGAGCCGTCATTTCAACTTGCAAACGCGGATAATTCCGGATACACATAGAATTAAAGGCTCAAATTTCGATAGTGAACCGTGAACACTATTACTGATTAGCTTAGCTAAAAACAAAATTCCATTTCTGAGACTTAGGTAGGATTGGTCAAACGGATGACGAACCTGTCTCTTAAAGAATTGAATTATACAAGCGTTTTCACTATCCCTATAGACTATACAAAAGCTTTATACATATACTTAAAGCCAATAATATCTCACTGTTCTGTTTTCATGTCACAATATGCTTAATAGTTCAAATCAATGGTGGCTCACTGAAATCGTTGCACAATCTGTTGGACACAATTGTCACATCAATGGTGGACACAAATGCAAAGGTGACTCACTGTTAACTTGCGACAATCTGGCCGTTTGACAATAAATATTTACAGGAAATCGTGGCTAATTGCTGTCGTATCACAGTCTAGAAGTTAGTTGGTCATGGTAATTTCGTCTGAACTGATCATTATTATTTGGTGATATTCTTCTTCTTTAGGTCCACATCATTTCAAATGGAAGGTACGTTCTACTTATCAAAAATGGATAATGTGGAGGTAACTTAACAATTTATTTAAAAAGCGTCAATAGTTAAAATGTGTCTTGTCTAAATTGAGATGTCAAGATAAGGTACACATGATCTCTCACGATATAGTTGAGTGAGATCAGTATCTAAGGTATCGATGTGGGAGTTGAAAGGAACCCTGTGTAAAGCTTTGTTAAGATACTGCACACCTCCAAAATAAATGTTTGAGAATAATCTTGTTTTATATCCATGATTTTGGTCTCTTTTGAACCTTGTTTAGATATTGTGCTGATTGTTATGTCGTCTTTGAAAAGAAACAATTTTCCATGAATATGTGGTCGTATATTGTCGTCGCCACTGTCCGTCGGTCCGTCGGTCCGTCGGGTTGTCGGTCCGTCGGTCCGTCCGTCAACATTTCTTGTGAGCTCTATAGAGACTACAGTTTTTATCTGATTTTGATAAAACTTGGTGTGATGCTTTAGATTGATAGGATCTCGGTCAGGTTCGAATTTGAAATATTTTCGATGAACGGTTTTTGAGATATTGCCCTTGACTTAGAACGCCTTGAAATTTGTTAAAAATTGTTCGTGAGCAGGATTAAAGCTACAGTTTTCATCCGATTCTGATGAAACTTGGTGTGATCATTGGAATTGATAAGATCTCGGACAAGTTCTAACAAGAGATATTTTTGATGAACATTTTTTAAGTTATTGCTTTGTAAACACGCGTCAAAAGTTGTTTTTTGCCCTTGATTAGAGCTGTGTGATTTAATTGTTTGTTGTATTTGGGTTATTGATATTGATTTTAAAAAATATTGTGGAATTATTCAGCATAAATAATTTCTTCAATATGAGAAAATTCGTACTTTAGTCACTAAAGACTGTTTTATCATTTCTGACAGCTGCCAGTGGGCGTATGTTACCTTGCATCACAAGCTATTTTTATTTATCAAAAAAATCATTAACCTTTAAAATGATAACAATAATTACAATTGCTTTGATTCGTCTTCACAATGCCAAGTTATTACGAACTTCGTCTTTACCTTGACTGTGTTAGCCACTATTCATGTGTTGCGGCAGCGATTTGATTGGATTGTACACTAGCGAATTAGTCAATTAGATCTCTCTCAATGATGTTTATAGTTTTCCGTTGATGGCTCTGATTGACAGTATTCACTGACGTTCAATCCAATCAAATTCATGCATTGCATGATACAAGAATAGTGGCTCTGGTTGTCAAGGTATAAAACCTCTGTTTATAACTATCCCTAATTTGATAGGTCCAGGTGCAAGTAACGGAATGTTCTGGGGTGTTTTTGGGAACAGGATATTGTATTTGTGGTGTTGTAGTAAGAGTAGGAAGAACTGCCTTTATGATCAACCGCTGTAACCTAGGATACTGGTATATTGACTATATATTATGTGACGATGGTGGCGATATTCTTGATGTGCGAAAACGTAAAGAAATTATTTTTGAGGTGGGTAAACCGGTAATTTTTACAAAACAAACAAAAACGCGATTCATTCTGGACACAAGTATTTGAAGGCTGAAAATTCGACGGTGGGCTGTAAACATTAATAGTGATTGGCTTAGATGAGAAAATGTCGTTTATAAGACTAAGGAACCAATGGCGTATTTATTCTACTTTCACTACCAAATCGCGTTAGATGCATTTTCCACCTTCTTAGATTATTCCAGGGGGGGCCCCCTTCACTCTCCACCGCGAGTTACCCTCTTAAATCCGAAAGGGGCATCAATGAAATCCTGGGGCCGGTTTCACGAATGAGTTACGACGATCGTAAGCTTTGTGAAACCGGCCCCTGGCTACGCCACTGTAATGCCACTATTCCGCAGAGACCACGAATAAAATGAATTAATAGATTTTAGGATTCGCAATTGAATCGTTTGTAAAATTCTTAATTGATTGGCATAAATTTATATTAATTCGTATCTTATTCGCACTTGCAGTCGGCTGATTCATAATTGATCCTTAACACTCGTGCAGTATTCATAATTTCTCTATGGTACCTGTATCGTAACTAGATCGTACAGCCTCGCGAATTAAACCAGAATATGTGCTAAAATTCCACGAATCCTCACGAATCCTAATATTTACAAATCTTGATGATTCGTGGGATTCGTACTTCTTTGGAATAGTAGCATAATGAACGATTGGTCAAACGAATGGCGAATTTGTCCCTTTAAGTAATAATCAATTGCACAAATAAATAACCAATTACTAACGATCTGAACCGCAAAACTAATCCCAAAACAACATTTGCGAAACATTGGCAGCAGCTACATTCACATGCGGAATTATATAAGTCATAAGTGAATAAGTGTTTCAGAATCAAAATGGTATCAGGTTTCTAGAAAAGTAAGCTTCTCCGCCATAGATGCGTAACACACCCAACAAACACGACAAATGGGAACGTACTTTTATATTACTTATTTAAATTTTATATTCAAGGGAGGGAACTCAAATGAAATGATATCACAAATGATATATTATGATAAAAACCAGCTAGTTTAGCTACCCCCCTCCCCCTCTCCGCCAAATTTGAAAATGCGATTTTTATACGTGTTTGCTCCAACAAAAATGCACCTAATCAATTCAATTTTTCGAAAATTTTCTCATTATATCCCTCTCCGACGCTGTATAAGAGCTTTGCGACTTTGATACGTCCACAGAGTGCATTTTGAATTCAACCAAGACAGTTGTCTCAAGATATAGTCAGTCTGTCCCCTATTGTACTCCCAGTCTCTGAAGTCTGGCGCCGCCACTGCCTCTACATTCATAATAAAACATTTCATTATGATAAGTGGCACCAAGTGATCCGAAGATTAAGCATACCATGCCTGGAAAGTGACACGTTGGACTAAAACTGTTATACCTATTTTTTTAGATGTATTTACCAAGTGATACAAGAGTACTCATCCTTCTGACGGGAGATTCTAAGTATAACTGGTTGAATATATATATAATACCATCAGTAAGAGATATCGGTAAAACAACTGGTTTATGTGGTGAATTAACAGGTGATCCACCAGATGTAGAATACAATGACGGATATTTTAATTCCTTCAGGTAATTTAAGGGACAAATGCGCCATTAATTTGACCCACCTTAGTCTCAGAAATGGGATTTTTTAACTGAGCCAATCTGTATTAGTGTTCTTAGCTCACTGTCGAAATATGAGCCTTAAAATCCATGTTTGTCGTCTTTCTTTGAGATTCTGTCATGTATAGATAAGACATAAAAGGGAAAATTCTTAGTTTGAGGTATTTTGGAAGAAAGTATTCTATTTCCATACATTTCTAGTACTTCCAAAGACATTTAAGATCGAACTCAACGCCCAAAAATGTCAAATTTGTCCTTTTGATAGTCCTTTTTTCAAAAACATCTTAAATTATACCTGAAAATATTTCTAAAACATGCTATTCACAACTATGTAGGCTGCATGATCAAGCTTGAAAATTTTGTTGTAATATGAAATTACAAAATGAGACGAAAGCGAGCAACATTCAATGGGACATAACAATATTTAATTCTGCATTTTATAGAGTCGATAAAAAGGCAAGCTTGTTTGATCCAGGCAACTGGAAAACCCTGACGGAGTGGGCATCTAATAACGCTGCAAGAATCCAACATTGTCGTTGTGATGATAAAGCTGACGATAAAATAGACACATCTCTGAACTGTACTCTAGTACCAGGAGCGACAACCTGTTCCTCAGACACAGCTTATACCTTGTTCCATAAAAAAAGATGTATCAATCCTTTAAGAAAGAAAAGGTCACTTCCTCGGGGATTGCATCCTCAAATATTACACCACCGACGACTCAGGCGGGTACGTAGATTTTATTTCCGTCTGTGCATGAATAGTGTAAACCGAAATCGGGTCTCGTTCTATTGAAAGTTCCTTCGATTCTACACATTTTTGTCTTTAACTTATATGTCCGTCTGTGAGCGTTTTATAGAAAATTACAAAATAAAATTGATTTAAGCTGACGAACAATCACAATTTACAATTTAAAACCAAAGGTTGATGACTCTGCTTGGGGACTTCCTCAAAATCTTTCTTCAACCCATTACCTTCTGTGAGTTGCTGGTACGGAACATAATCTTTGTCCTTCACATTTTCTGATTCAATTCGTGTTTAAAATAGCAATAATCTCTTTTAAAAATAAAATGGGGCACACAATAAAACGTACAAAAACCTCTAGATTTTTTTTTTATGATCACAACGACTGAACAAGGTCGTTTGTTTCAGAACTTTTATAGAACCTTTACTTTAGACTATAGGGCCTAGTTACTCACCACATTTTCTATCTTTGGCCTTAAAGGTTTGTAGTTCAGTTATCATCTTCCTGACATCCTGACAGAATTGCCATGCTTATAATAAGTTTGCCTCATGACATGACAATCACCAATATTTTCACAATGATTAGTCTCAGTCTTTCGCCGCAACTTTTTCGATCAACCAACCATCATCACCATGTGGTCTCGTCCCCCATCTCTTTCTATATTTGGACACCTGATTTTTCCAAGTACTGGAAGTGTGCTTCCAGTCTTGGTGAAGATTTTTATCCACTACATATATCGATGATTCTGTTGGATTAACAGGGGGAGCATTCGCAGAATTATTATAGTCTACGTCAAGGATTACTTTTGAAAAATTCTTATAGGTGGAAGAGAGATTCCTTGGCCTTGATGCTCCATGTTCCCGACGACAGTAAAAAGTTAAGGGAAGTAACAAACGACCTTGTGTAGTGGTTGTGATCATTAAAAAAAATCAAGAGGTTTTTGTACGTTTTATTGTGTGCCCCATTTTATTTTTAAAAGAGATTATTGCTATTTTAAACACGAATTGAATCAGAAAATGTGAAGGAAAATATCTCAAAGCAAGAAAAGAAATATTGATTTGTTTCGTTTCATTTTTAAAATAATTTTGATTCCATAATATTGACGTCAGCAAAAATTCCGTCAAATTGAATAGTTTCGTTTTGTAGTATGAAAATCTGCGATCCTTAAATTTAACAATGCTCATTTTAGCGCCTTTTTTTCCACTCCGGTATGCCGGTTGGCAGCGGTAGGCGGTTGGCTTTTAAAACCCACCCCTCTGCCACTTACATCCCTGCCCGACGACATATCAACAAACACATTTATTTGATGAAGTTATAATATCGGTATGCTCAATAGAGGATGAAGAGATTTATTTTATTCTAGGATGTAAGTTGGAAGAATCGATGGACTCTAAAAAGTGCTAATGAATATTGTTCTGGTCTGTTTAATAATTCTATGGTTATTAAGAGATGTGAAGGTATAAGAGGTATTAATATTGAAGGGGCTATAGAAACATGTGTCAGTGATATAAAGGTAGTTGTTTATATAAATATATAATTACAAAAAACATATGAAAAAGAAAGTACGGTCACAGTGCTCCAAGAAAATCGTTTATAAGCTAGCTGGACATTCGGTTGCATTACCTAATTAAGTAAATTAATTACAGCAACGAGAAAATAATTCCTCTTGTTCTTAAATACTTGTGAAATCAGTGCGTTTTACGTTAATATACTTACACGACTGCTAATCGTCGTTACCGTTATCCAAAAAGCTTCGTATGAGGTGGAAATATTAAACCAATCAAAAGACCTTTTTGACAAATGAGCATTTATTAGAATATCTCGGGCCCAGAGACGAGGTTAAGGTTCTTAAGAGAAACACGGTATTGTGTGGGATGTGTTTACGATACGATTATAGCCTTACTATCTCATATTTACGAATCATTTATATTCTAGCTAAGTGGAACTGATGTGTTTGCTCTCTCTGCCATATCGTCTGTCAGTTCTCAATGTTTACGTGAAGCCAGCATGAATGGAACTTTACGAGAAGAAAAGGTGGATAGCAATAAAACTATTCTGGAGATGGTAAACGAAGTTGCATGTCCTGGGGAATGTTCAGATCAGGGACTTTGTGAACACGGTAAGTGGTCTTTAATGATATTGAGCTTGATCTATTGAGTTAAGTAGAGTTCTTTTGTTGCAGAAAAATTAAGGAAGACGTTAGTGGAGGCCCATAGCCAATGAGAGCCTTTGGGGGGCAAAGCCCCCCCCCCCCCCCTTAAGTACATTAGTGTATTTTACTGAGTCAAGGGTTGTGGGGGGGGGGGGGGGTCTTTTTTAAAAGACAAATAATACTGAGCTTTAATTTCGTCAGGAAATGACGTTTCTTGGCGTCTAATTCTTAAAATTTCCTAAGTGGCGTACCACAGACCCTATACAAATAATCTTTAACCTTAAATTCCCTGGTATATATGTAAGGAAATTGTGTTTCCGGGAGTCTAACTCTCGAAATTTTCAGATCCGAACAAATAATCGTGAACCTTAAATTCACTGGAAAATGTCAGGAATTTGCGTTTCCAGGCGTCTAATTCTCAACAAATTTTCTTGTGGTGGTCCCACAGTCTCTATACAAATAAACCTTAAATTCGCCAGGAAATGTCAGGAAATCGCGTTTCAGGGAGTCAAATTATCTAAAATTTTCTAGAGGAGGTCCCCAGAATTCAAGTGTTTCCAAGCTTCCAATGGGCGTCCTCGGCAGCAATAAAGATAGCAATAACTCTATATAGTGCACTACTGTAATGCGTAACAATTCATAATGTTTTCCGGGAGGGGAGGTGGGGAAACCAAGATGTACTTGGCTGGCTACGGGCCTGCGTTAGAGATAAAATGTTCATCACCAGGCGCTATCTTTTCGGGCTGCTTTCATACACATAAGAGGATTTTTCCAGTACAACTTTGCCAATTTACCCTATGAATTAATATTTTTAGTGTACTTACAGCACTTTACTATTCCAGGTAAATGTATCTGTAACTCTGGGTTTATAGGATCCGACTGTTCAGTATCACTCAGTAAACCACCATTAGCCCACAATCTAGAAGCTGATGGACATTGTGATTTATCACTAGACGATTGTAATGAAGTGGCTGTTTTTGGTGGAAGATTTGTAGATCATGACAAGACCAAGTGTAAACTGTTACCATTTAAGGTTATTTATATTTCTTAAAGTAGCAGTTAGGTCCGATTCATTCTTTCAACACACCTGAAGGTTTAAATCCTTTCAACACACCTGAAGGTTTAAATCCCGAATTCTGCATAACCCTGTGAACATATTTGGAATTCAGAACAATAGGAAAAGAGTAAATCACAGTTATTGCCTTCTAGGGTTCTAATTCCCCAAAAGCTGCCTTGAAGGTTCAGTTTTAGAAGACTATAAGCTAACTTAAATCAGATGGTAGCAGTTTTAAGCTGCCATTGGCTTGTATTACCTTGCCTGGCATCCCATAGGCTTGAACGACATTTGGAAAAAAACATAATGTGTTGAATGATATTTTTAAGAAATATGCTTATTCCATAATATCGTCTTGTGTTTATGAAGATAAATACCTTTTAATACCTTTTAGATAAAGAATGACCAAGTTACTGTCAGTGAAGATATAATAATACAAACAGCAGTATTTGAGAGTATTGGAGAAGTAACGTGTAAATTATCATCTAGAAAACGTAGAAGAAGATCAGTAGATGTACCAGTTATTGATGAAACTGTGACTGGTTATAAAGTCTCCGTATCTAATAATGGTCAGAACTACAGTCAACAGTTAAATCTGATCATATATAATACAGAATGTATAAACTGTAGTATAGATAACTCGAATGAAATGAGCTGCACATTTTCGGTAAGATTCAATATATAGCAAACATACCAAAAATAACCTTGATCTCACAAATTTATTTTGCAACCCATCAAAACGAAAAGTGTGGTCCGTATTCATATACTGTTCACCAGTTTCATGCGTGTGTTCATATGTACAAAACAAATATTTACTTTTCATCAATATGTAGCAAAAAAACAGAATTTTCTGGGTGCATGTAATGTTTCATATTTGACAAAAAGTCTATATATTATATTATGTATAGTATATTATATTAATTATAGTCGACGTAAAACTCCATTATTCATTCATTCATTCTTTGATCGGTTATCTACCTTTGAGAGCGAATTCAAAGTGAATATACAAAGCTCGTGTTTTGTATTTTTTGTAGAATTTTCTTCATTATTAGCAGCAAATAAAACTGAAAAAAAATTACAGGAAGCGGATAGTCTGTTAATGCAAATAATACTATCTTTATTCTTAATTACTTCCATTTGAACATG